TTTCTTTTCATCCATGATGACATTAAAGTCATCTGTTGCTGCTTCTGGCGTTTCATCGCTGACTGTGCCGCAACCGCGATACCCGCTCGTTAGAACTTTCAGTGAGCTATTTTTAGTGTGCACGCGACGTTCCTGGACGCTGACGCTCGTCTGTGCCCTGCTCCTCCGTGGCGATGACGGCGTGCGGTTAAAAAAAATCATAACAAACGAATTTGATGTTTATGTTTATATGGGTGTGTGTGTGTGTGTGTGTGTGTGTGTGTGTGTGTGTGTGTGTATTATTAAAAAGTTTGCGGTCGGTATTTTTTATTTTTTATTTTTCACAAAGTGACAGTAAGACATTAAAGTCATCTGTTGCTGCTTCTGGCGTTTCATCGCTGACTGTGCCGCAACCGCGATACCCGCTCGTTAGAACTTTCAGTGAGCTATTTTTAGTGTGCACGCGACGTTCCTGGACGCTGACGCTCGTCTGTGCCCTGCTCCTCCGTGGCGATGACGGCGTGCGGTTAAAAAAAATCATAACAAACGAATTTGATGTTTATGTTTATATGGGTGTGTGTGTGTGTGTGTGTGTGTGTGTGTGTGTGTGTGTATTATTAATAAGAGGGTAAAACAGAGATGTGTAAAAAGTTGGGTATAAAGACATATGTTGTCAAACAGCAGAGTGTTTCAGTAGACTATTTGCTTTAACACATCATCATGTACGCATCTTTGAAACAGGGATTCTTTTTCAATATTTCAATATTTTATAAATATTTTAGTGCATTACTACCTCTGACAACTACTATTGCATGTAATATTACATCAGAGTGTAATATGTAATGTGTCTGTGTTTAAGTAAATATCACTCCCTCTATAAATCCAATCTAATTCTCATTGCATTATTTCAGTAGTACAGCCATCTATCCTGGAATGAGAAATAAAATAACAAGCTTATACAGTAGAGAACTCTGTCTGTGGGGAATACTCCTCAAAGTGAGACCTTAACGTAAACATCGAAAGGAGAACTGTGCCTCCTGTAGGGTTATCCCTAATCAATATACATAATCAATATACAGGGAAATTAGGATGTTAAAAAAGACCTCTGGGCTCACCATCAATCAATGGGGCAGTAACTGATTTTTTCACAGTTGAAAATCACTCTCTAATCTCTTAAGCAGGATCTGACTGCGCTTGTGGCCGACAAGTGAAGTCAAGTAGAGTTCATTTTATGCCATACACACTACTAATGTGTCTGTCAGAAAGAAAAAAACAATGAGATAATGGTTGTGCATTATGTTGGTGATCAAAATTAATTTACCATAAAACATGCTGTTCACATATGTATTCACAGCAAATTAAAACTGTTAGAGTAAAACAAAAAGGGCTTGCTATGATATATGCGTGTAATAGATATATCATGCTGAAATTTAGTGTACCTGTGTAAGGTTTTTTAAGCTTTTCACCTTCTGTGACAATAATCCAACGTATATATGTATGTATGAACAGTTGTGCATATGAGAAGAAATGGGGGAAATTACAAGCAAAGTTCTGTAGTATAAACCAGATCCATGCACAAATTCAAAGAAAACAATTATAGCTCAAAACAACCAATGTACCCAGCTGCAGATTTATAGTTACCAAAACAGAGGTAAATGTAGAAAAAAACAAGCCAAGCAAAACCCTCTGAACAAGACCATCCATTACACATAACATCTAACATTTATATATGTCAACTACAAAAGCCACATTCATGTGTGTTCATTTATGTATTTGAGTACACTCTAAAAAATGCTGGGTTAAATACAACCCAGTGCTGGGTAAAATAGGGACAAACCCAGCAATTGGGCTGTTTTGACCCAGCGGTTGGGTTAAATGTTTAACCCAACCTTCTGGGTAGTAACCCAACTGCTGGGTCAAAACACCAGTTCACATACTTAAAAGCAGATCGCTGAAATCAGTCTGAAAGTTCTGGACATGGATAACACATGATACACCTTTCTATGTTGTTGACTTGCTATCATCCATTCTGCTGAAGTGGATGGAGAAACTGATATAGACATGTAGGCAGTCAGTCAGTTCTCTTTGTGAATCTCTCTGAGAGAGATGGAAGAGAGAGTGAGGGTCCACAGAGGAGAGAAGGAACAAGATGAGGGGTAAGTCAGAGCAGGGATTGGGGGTGGTTAGCTGCTCCCGAAAGTATTCCATCAAAGAGGAGCCGGATCCTGGGAATTGAGATTTTGCCTGGAGGCAAGTAACCGTTGGTCTCCCAAGAACATATTCCAAAGTCGGCCTCAAAGAGCCAAAGCACACATCAAAAGCAGCAGTGGTGCCAAAGTGTTTCTTGAGGAGAAAGAAAGGGGTACAGCTTCCTCTTTGGCCCCCTTTGAGACCCTGATCTCACCCAATTAAACAAGAGTTCATGACTACAGACTCACATTGACACAGTGCACACCGTTGTGGTGACCCTAAGACACCCTAAGAAAATCACATGGTGATTCACTTTTGAAGATTGCGCGCACTTTTATGTATGAATCTGGCAAACAAAGCAGCTAATCGAACAATCAAGGGTCAATGGCATAATTGTCCATAATAAAGGAAAAATCTTTTAAAAATGTAACCTTTCACAACACATGTACCAAGTTCTTATAAATATATACCAAATATATACCAAGTTCTTATAAACATATTTGTTGTATTCATGTTGGCTTAGAAACAAAAATCCAAAAAACTTTATAACGGTCTGCAGAAGTCTGCTCTATGATATAATTTCCGGAATATGTATTTTTTGGAAAGTTTCTGCATGCACCACATGACTAAACAAAAGTTTTTCAAAACTCAAAAAAATTATAGTAAATGATTATGCCAAACTACTTGTAAATAATAATAAAACAACTTGTAATAATTCATATATCATATTCAAATATCATACAGCTTGCCTTGTACAAAATTGTGACTTTTATCATTTTTTCCCCTTATTAAATTATGGTTAGGTTTAGGTCATGTAATTTAATTTGATTTCAAAATCTCATACAAACCGCTACAACTTCTCATGAGACCAGCCTGTATTGACCCTATTACCTTAATATTTCTATAATCATACACTACTGGTTGAGCTACAATAATGCACCAATTTGCTGTTGACAAAAAAAAATGATTTTTCCTATATGCACACACTTCACAGGTTCTCATGCAATCATAATAATCTGT